CCTGTCTCTGGGAAACAGGGCCAGACAGACAGCATGCCTCCCATCAGTGACTCCGGTCTGAGGGCTTGGCCAGGTTACAGTTAATCCACTTTACTACTTTTCTTCTCAAATTCAGGAGAGCAGTACAGTTTGGTGGCAAGAACACTAGTTTGGAAGAGCTGCATTCAAACCCCATGTTTGACACATTAGCTGTGTAACTTTGGACAAATCACTTCACCTATGTTTGCCTCAGTTTCCTCATTTATAGAATGAGGGGGTTGGATTATATTACTTCCAGGGCTTCTTCCAGATTTAAATCTGTGACTTAAAATAGCCAGAGGACCTGTCCAGGGGGAATTCAATTGTGAAGATGAATACCCTTTGCCCACCAGCTTGCTCTAAGTAGATGGGACCTTTGGGAAAACCTCTACTATCAGTCTCTGAATGATGAAAATCTCACCTTCTCAGGCTCAGTTTGCCTACAAAGCCTAGGATTCCTGTTACCAGACAACTATGTTGGTGCTTAAAGATTGATCCTGAACAGCCAGAGAAAATAGGGTATCCCAGAATCTAAAGCTAGAAGGGTCTTTTGAGGTTGCTTGATCTAGTTCAACTTTCCCCCTCCTCACACTACATCCCATTTTTACAGAAGAGGAAATAGGGAAGGAAGGAAACAAGCATTTATTAAGCTCCTACTAAGTGCCAGGCAATGTGCTAATATTATCTCATTTGATCACAAATATTATTTCATTTGATCTTCATAACAACCTTGGGAGGTGGGCATTATTATTATCCCCATTTTACAGATGAAGAAACAAAGGTAGAGGAAAAATGACTTGGTCCAGGGTCACATAGCTAGCCAGAGTTGAACTCATGTCTTCCTGAGGCCCAGAACTCTATCCATTGCACCACCTAGCTACAGAGGATGAGAGTGACTGATGCTAAGACAAACAGGATAGGATTCGAATGTACCTCCTCTGACTACAAATCAGAGGTCTTTATATAACAACAAGATATTATCACCAAATATTGTACTCCTTTGTTGCCACTCGCCTTGAAAAGCTTCAAAGGAGTTAGTCTCACTCTAAACACAGCTTCCCCTCAAATAACTGTCTTTGCTGCTTACACTCAAAGAACAGTGCCTCACAGGAGGTTAATGTAGGATGGTGGGAAGGGCACTAAGTCACATAGGGATACATCAAGAGAGAGAATGCAGTGGCTCACAGGGCCATAGATGTAAAGTGAAAAGAGAAATTATCTAGTCTAGGGGTTCCTAACATAGTCCCATGGATATATTTCAGGGGGTTTCAACTTTTTTTGTTTTGATAACGATATTTTGATATATTTGGTTTCTTTTGTAATCCTATCTTATTTTACACATTTAAAAACGTGATTTTGAGAAGGGGTCTCCGGGTTGCCAAAGAGGTCCACATCACAAAAATGCTTAAGAACCCCTGATCTAGCACAACTCCTTTTACAGATGAGGACATTGAGGTTATCAGGGGTTATATAACTTGCCAAAGGCCATACAGTTAGCACATGTCTGAGGAAGGATTTGAACCTAGCTTCTCAGAATCCAGAGCCTAATGCTCTTTCCATCCACCCATACTGTATCCTATTATAGAATCTCAGAGACTATGGAATTTCAGAGCTATCTAGCCCAACCTATTTTTGACCAAGAATCTCCTCTAAAACTTCACCAGCCAGTTTATTACCCTCTTCCATTTTAGGGGTGAGTCGATCCCATTCACATTCAAAGTTATGGTTATTAATTGTGCATTGCTCTCCATACTATTATTTTAGACTTTTCCCTTTCTTTTCTCCCTGCCTTCTCTTTAACAATAAGAGGGTGATGAGAAAAGTGTGCTTAGCATCTGTGCTCTATGCTTTATGCAATCAACTTTCATTCTCCTGTTCTCATCTCTTCCCCTAGACCCCAGTCATCCTTACTTTCCTATCCCTTAACTCCCTCTTCACGACCTCCACTTTGAGCTTAGCATATTTGGTACGAGGATTTTGTTTTTCTTCTTTTAAATGGGAAAGGGGAAGGAAATAGATAGGAAAGGAAAATAAATGGAAAATTGAATAAAATGGAAAAAATAACTGATAATTGATCATCCAGCATCCACCTGAATGCCTTTAGTGAATGAGAACTCAGGAAACAAAGAATTCAGAGGTGCATATAGTCGGATGTTCTCCAAGGATGCTTCAGGGAAGGTCATGGCTGCCTTGGGAGGGTGGGGTGAGGAGGGAAGGGTATTGGTTACACTATTTGGAATAGGACATTGGATGCCAAAAAGAATCATGGCTGTGGAGTTGGAAGAGCTAACTACTCCATATATAGAAAGGTAGAGCTTTCATTTTTGGATTCATCTTCTCATTAGAAAGTCACTGGGATAGGTTGCGGGGTGGATGGGGATACAAGAAAGGAGTATGAAATGAGAACTGATCTTTTGTGGGCTGACTTGTGCTCTCCCTTAGTGGCTGCCAAGTGAGTAGGCTGTGAAGAAGAGTTCTTTTTCTGTGCCTCCTGGAAATCATATGGTCCAGACCTTTAATGCTCAATTCTAAAGTGGCTTTGTAATTTAGTTCAACTTAATGAGACTTGGGAGACAGCCAGGATAATCACAGGAGACCCTCACTTTGGAATCATTTTTTCTCAACTGAATGCACTAGCATAGGGACACTTGGGGAAGGGGTCTGCTGCCCTGGGGCAGTAGGATTGTTCCCCAGGGGGAAATCTTGCTCTGGGTTGTCAACCAGCTAACTCTCTTGTAGCTTGGACTAACACCCTTTCTCTGTCTACCATGCCACTCCCACCCTGCGAATGATTTGACCTGGATTTGGTCCCCATTTCAGTGAAAAAGGTCCAGGTCGACTTAACTGTTGTAATTGGATATTCTATTGCTAATCAACATATATTTAATAAGTGCTTATCCTATGTCAGGCACTGTGCCAAGTTCTAAGAACTCAAAGACAACCAAAAACAGTCTCTGCCCTCAAGCAACTCACATTTTAATGGGGGAAACCATAACCTAACAACTTTGTATGTACAAGACTATGCAGAGTAGATGGGAGATAAGTTCAGAGGAAAGGTTCCAGCTGTGAGAGAGGACTGAGAAGGGCAGATGATAGGACTTGATCTGAGTCTTAAAGAAAGCCAGGGAAATTGAGAGGTAGAAAAGAGAAGGCAGAGCATCCAGGCACAGAGGACATAAGGTGCAGTGATTTGGAGACAGTCAATGTAGCGTCCTGTTTGAGGACCTGCAAGTAGTCAAGGGTGACACAGGCTCTCATTGCTCCCCGGGGGTGTGGATGGAGGAGATGGCTTGGTAGCTCAGTGCCAAGTCACTGGGCAGGGGTGGGGAGGGGGAAATCTTCCTCCCAAAACTACCCTGCATGCCTTTGGTAGGGATTATATAATAGAATATAAACATAATAGAATATAAGCACAGCAGAATATAAACTTTTTGGAGGGCAGAGGCTGTTTCACTTTTTTCTGTCTTCAATCCTTAGGCATAGGGTCTAGCACACAGTAGGTGCTTAATAAATGCTTATTGACTGATTATATTCTTGCTTTTGAGTGATGGGGGCTAGGAGTGCAGATGTAGACAAGGTTCATAGGACTATAGATCTAGAATTAGAAGGAACCTCAGCAATCATCTAGATCAACCTCCTCATTTTACAGACGAGGAAACTGAGGACCAGGGAAGTGAAGGGACTTACCCAGGGCCACATGGGTAATAAACCTCAGAGGTGTTATTAGAACCCAGATCCTCAGACTACGGGAAGGCTTTTGGTTCAATCATGTTTTGCCCTCATAGTGGAGGGTAAAAACACAGGAAATTAGAGGATCATAGTGTTTCAGAGTTGGCACTTCAGGGCCCTTCTAGTCCAACCTGTACCTGAAAAAGAATCCCCATTAGCAATCAATCAATGAACATTTATTAAGCATCTACCGTGTGCCAGGTACTGTGCTAAGCACTGTGGATACAAAGAGACAAAAGAAAGTCCCTACCGTCAAGAAGCTTACAATCTAATTATAAAACACCTGACAAATTGTCATTTAGTCTATGCTTGCAGACCTCCAGTGAAGGGGATCCCAATTCTAACTTTCTGAAGAAGGCCTTTCCTGATGGCCCCCCTTCTCCTTTTCTCCCCAACTAGGTCCTTTCCTCTGAGATTAACTCCCACTGTACAGATCTTGAATGCACATAGTTTGCATGTTGCCTCCCCCTGTGAGCGCCTAGAGAGGACATATTTGTTAATATGTTCAGAACTTGGCACAGTGCCTGGCACACCTAAACGCTCCCTAAATGCTTGTTGACTGACTGACCTCCTGGGGGTCAGCTCATTCCATTTATCGATAGCCCATTAGCAAGTGTTTTCATATATCAGGCTTCTCATCCCTTCCTGTCCAGTTACAAATACAGCGCAACAAATATTTATGAAGAGGCTTATTGTGAGTAGGTCTCAGAGGGGAGGTCATTCATTTTCCTGCAAGGGTGGAACCCTCAATATGCAGCCAGAGAGACCTGGGCACGCAGCACCACTATGAATTCCTTGAGGGTGGTGACTGTCTTTTGCCTTTCTTTGTATCCCCAGCACCTAGCACAGTGCCTGGGTGTGTATAATAGATGTTTAATAAGTACTTATTGACTGACAGTCCATTCCATTTATGAGTAGGTCTAAACATTAGAAAAACATTTTTCTTTCTGTAACAGGTCTCTCGTCCTTTCCCACATTCTCTCCTGTCTACTACATAAAAAGAGAGGAGTACTAGGTAAATGTTAGTACCCCACATCTACCCCAAGGTTTGGCTCTTTCCCCCAGTCACATACCATCCTCTCCTGCCCATCACCATGTCCCTTGCTGGGACCTACTTCCAGGTAACGTCCGAACTTTTCATAGGATATGGCTGAGCTGGCTGGCTACATGCCCAGGTAAGTGGGGCAGGTAAACCTGGTTTCTGGGTTGCCAGGCTGAAGCACACATGTACACACACCTGCCACAGGGCTTACCTGTCTGCCTGGACTTCTGCATCTCTTGTCTCTGCCTTGTGTGGCCGCCCTCCATTGATTTCCTTCTTGCCACTGGTAAGCAGGTTCAGCACTGGCTGGATCTCTTGGAGAAGGTCGTTGCTCTCCCCACCACCATGTAGGCCAGCCAGGGCACTTTTCTTTGTGGGGTCCTCACCCTTCCGGTCAGGTACCATGCCATTGGTTTGTGCCAGGGAATTATCTTCTTGACCATTTTTTCTGGGGTGCTGGGGCACATTCCGAAGGGCCACAGCACTGTCTGGCCCTGGGGGCTGATCTTTGCTGGGTACAGCCTGGTGGGACAGGTCCACTGTTTTAGTGGCTGAGCCTAGGGGCCGGGTCACTCGGATGGTCTTGGGTGTCCCATCGCCGGTGAATGTAGTCTCCAGGTGAGTAGTGAAGCCCTCGGGGCCCCTCAGGATGAGGACCACATGAGTCTCTGGTGCAATACTCCTCAGAGCCTCCAGGGCACCATCATAGCTCATGTCCACCAAGGGCCGGCCATTGACTGCAAGGATGATATCTCCTGCCTGGATAAGACCACTCTGTTCAGCTGCCCCACCCCGGATCAGGTCAGATATAATCACCGGAGGCTTGCTAACCCGTTCTTTCACCAGGAATCCCAAGCCTCCCACTTTGCGTTTGAAGAGCCTTACAGAAATGACATTGGGTTGAATTTGTTGAACACTAAACATGTGGTCTTCCATTGTAACTTCAGAGTATCTGGCCCAATGAATGTAAGCCTTAGTGATGAGAGGCTTTGTCCCTGAATGAAGGACACTCTCTGGACCTCAAAAAAAGGAGTTAAGAAGATGGATACTGCTGGGGCTGGAGTTGTATGAGCCAGGCTTGGGAGAAGGATTGATTCTTTGGCGTTTGAGTAATTGGTCTTGGATATCAATTGGTTCAGAGCATCTGGTGGCATCTATTCATTCCAATCTCAGTTTCTGGGGCATGGTATGATTCATTGCTGCTCTCACTCTCTTGCTTTAAGGGAGGGATGGGTGACTTCTCTGGGGGTCTTCAGAACAGAAGGAGATTCAGCCCCAAAGAAACAGATGCCAAGTCCGGCAATACCACTATGGCACAGAACAGGCCTCTAGGAGCTGCTCTAGTGGTGAGACGTGCCAACTCCAGATCATTCCTCACTATTAGCTAGACGAGGGCAGCAACTTTTCTCATAGGTGGCTCAGTAGATGAACTGTCAGGCTGAGAATGGACTGGTGGCTTCTTGAGCTAAAGACAGAGAGGAAAGGAAGGAGAGAAAAAAAGATACATGAGATCAATGAGCATGGAAAATAAAAATGGGAAGCATAGACATGAATAAGGTAACCAGGAGACATTCCTGTTGGGAACCTCAGGGCAGAGTTTTGAAGGCGACTCAGAAAATGAACCTAATCTCAAGGGGATTCCCTTCCCAGTCAGCTGTAAATTATAGAATTATATGTCCATGATCAAAGACCTCAATGACAAAAGGGTCTCCCTAGGGGCGCCATTGACAGTCAGAACCAGAAATCAGATGGTGAGAAACTTAAGGGCTCTATGCCACATCCTCTCTACAACCCTCCTGGACACAACGTGCATGTCAATGGTCTTTTCCCTTCTGCAGCAGAATAGTTAGTGCACAGAACAATGCCTCATTTACATGGCATACCCTATTCACTTCCTCCTGCCCTACCAACAAACACCAACAAACTGGGAGAATAATCTTGCCTTGGATGAGTTGCAACCAATCAATAAACAATAAACAATAAATTTATTAAGCACCTACTATGTGCCACGAACTATGCTAAGCTCTGGGGACACAAAAAGAGGCAAAAGACAGTCCTTGCCCTCAAGGAGCATACAATCTAATGGGGGAAACAAAATGCAAATAAACACATACAAAGCAAGCTATACAGAATAAATAGGAAATAATTAAAAGAAAGAAGGTTCACAAATGTTCTCCAGACATTCTTTTAGGGTACAGGACATTCTTCTATAGTTTTCTTAATGTCAATAATATTACAAAGTCTATTCTTTTCTATCTGGCATGAATTCATCCACTTATAGTATGTAGTGGATAGAAGGCTAGAAGGCCTCATTCAATTCCTGTGTCAAAAGCAGGTATCTCATAGGTTCTTACAATTAATTTATTTAATCCTGGATATTGAAAGCCTTGAGGAGAAAAAAAAAGCCTCTCTTCACCTGAAATCTTGACTTCTTTGACAAAAAATGAAATACTATTGGTAATTTTCAAATAAATCACTTCTAAGGGTTTTCTAGACTGTGACTGGGGCTTGGTTGTTGGATTTATGGCTTTTGGCCCCCACTGCCACACCAACCCTAAGGTCATGTTCTTCATAGACCAAGACAGAGCTGGAGAAAAGATCATATGCCACATTATTTGCTTGGTTATAAAGCTCTGATAATAGGAAACAATATACACTAGAAGAGCAACATGGACTTTTGCTGGTACTGTGAGATATATGAATTGTAGAGGTCCAGAGGGACTTAGTGGGACCCACCAGAAGGGAGGGAATTTTGGTGTCCTATGGAACCAAGAAAATATTTTTTTTGATGGTTGAAGGCTGGAAAATGAGCACATTTTGATTATATCAGCAGATTAAATAAAACTAGTATTGTCTCTTGAATGTAATAATAGCTCACATTTATGTGCACATTTAAAGTTTACAAATTGCTTTATATACATTATCTTATCCGAGCCTCAGAACAACCCAGTGAGGGAGGTGCTATAATTATAATTGTTGTTATATATGTATAATATTAATGTGCTATTATTCTTTGGTTCAAAGGTAACTGCAGATGACGACTGAGGCTGTGAAATTAAAAGACGCATGCTCCTTGGAAGGAAAGCTATGGCAAATCTAGACAGCGAACTAAAAAGCAGAGATGTCACCTTGCCAACAAAGGTCTGTGTAGTCAAAGTATGTTTTTTTCATATGGCTGTGAGAGTTAGATTATAAGGAAAATGGAGCACCGACAGAATCGATGCTTTTAAATTGTGGTGCTGGAGAAGACTTTTGAAAGTGTCTTGGACAGCAAGGAGATCAAATCAGCCAATACTGAAAGAAATTAATTCAGACTATTCATTGGAAGGTCAAATACTGAGGCCAAAGCTTAAATACTTTAATGGTTATTTTTTTTTAGGCAATTGCGGTTAAATGACTTGCCCAGAGTCACACAGCTGGTAAGTGTCAAGTGTTTGGTCTGAGGCCGGATTTGAACTCAGGTCCTCCTGACTCCAGGGCTGGCGTTCTATCCACTGTGCAACCTAGCTGCCCCAAAGCTCAAATACTTTGGCCACATAAGGAGAAGACGGGATTCATTGGAAAAGATATTGATGTTGGGAAAGATTGAAGGCAGAAGAGAAAGGGATGGCAAGTGATGAGATAATAGATAGTGTCATGGAAGCAATGAACACGAGCTTGGACAGACTCTGGGAGATAATGGAGAATAGAAGGGCTTGTTGTGCTGTGGTCCATGGGGTCATACAAAGTCAAACATGACTGAACAACTGAATAACAATAATAGGTGCTATTATTACCCTCATTTTATGGATGAGGAAACTGAGGTTTGAAGAGGAGGACTAAGGCCATCTAGCTAATAAGTGCCAGAGGCAGGCTGGGAATAAAGATCTAATCTTAGTGGGGAGCTGGAGGTCCTTTATGTAAGACCTAAATTGGGTTGGATTAAGATGGCCCCTGAGCCCCCTTCCAACTCGTAGGTCAGTGATTCTGTGAGGCTCAATACTGATATTTTAGCCCTAAGTAAGGACAAATATATGTGTGTTCTTTCGTGTGTGTGTGTGTGTGTGTGTGTGTGTGGTAGAATTATAGTGTATGTGAATGTGTATGTTTGTGTGCAGTGGGATTCTGGTAGGGCTGCATGGTATGAATGTATGCTATGTATGGGGTGTGAGTGTATGTTTTATGTGTGTAGTTGTTGTGTAGGAGGCTGCATATCTTGATGTGTGCATGTGAATGTGTGATGAATGTATGGGATGAGTGGGTTGTTGCTGTGCATGAATGGGTGTGGGTGTATATGTGGTCTAGTGGAGAGGATAATGTCTTTGGAATGAGAAGATCTAGGCTTAACGTCTGGCTCTGTTCTCTCATTTGGGTGACTTCCCTTCTCTGAACCTCAGTTTCCCCATTTGTAAAATTAAAGGATTTGACTAATTCTGAATCCTGGGGGATCTGGTTCAGGTCAGAGATGGTACAGATGGTATGAGAGGGTGGTGGGAATAACCATTCCAATTCTTTTCTTTCTCTCCCTTCAAGTCCTAGTTACATGCAAAGTAGTACACTCCTTTCTTCTGGGTGTCCTCTTAGCCAACCCAGTTGAGTGGGGAGCTCCCAGCTGCAGTGAATGACAGACACTCTCGTCCTCATCTTGCCTTCAGCTCCTTTCCTGGGTCTCACTAGTACCAAGACAATTGCCACACGATCCAACGCCTCTGGGGACTGGAGGCTAGGGTCAATCCATCTCCTCCCCTTCAGCCCAAGGGATCACCTCCTGGGTCATCCTGAGTCCCTGATGTGTGTGTTCAGCCTCCCCCTTTGTGGGGTGTGTTATGTAATGCCACCAGCCCCTCTGTGTGGGAGATGGAATAATAAATATCCTAGGACCAGCCTGGTTTGTACTCTCCATCTGGCATCTCTGTGTGTGTTTCTCTCTGTGTATTCATGCATCACTTTCCTGCTGTGTCATTTCTCTGGTGTTTGTGTGCGCGCGCGCAAGTGCATTTGCACGCGCGCGCGTTTTCTCAGGCTCTCCTGAGCATCTCTCTCTATGGATCCTTCTCTAGAGGTTCCAGAAAGACCAGAAATCCAGCAAATGGCACCAGTCTCTTCCTGGTCATGGAATGCCCATGCCCACCCTCCCATAGCTGTCTGCTATCCCAATTCCATCTGGAGATTTAGTTCATTACAGAGGAATTTTAAAATGTTTGGTTCCAGAGCCAAGCAGACAAGACCACAAAAGCCCCTTGGATGGCACAAATTAGGAATCTCATCTCTATTCTTTTACTAAAGGAGAGATCTTGAGGCGAGTTTCACACATGCTAACAGAGAGAAGGCTCTCATGTTCTCCTCCTCCACTCTGCCCACACTCCACTCCTTGGGCCAGAGCTGTCAAAAGGCAACATGGCGCCCAAGCTAGTAGCTAGCATAATAGGTAGTGTTTATATTGTGCATTAAAAAATATGATCTCCTTTGATCCTTACAACCACCCTAGGAGGTAGGTGTTATTACTATCCCTATTTTATAGATGAGGCAATGAAGGCAGACAGAGATCAAGAGGCTTGCCTAGAATCACACAGGTCATAAGCATCTAAGGTCAGACTTGAACTCAGATCATCCTGCCTCCAGTTCCAGTGTATGAGTCACTAAGTCACCTAGCTGCCCCTAGTAAGAAGTCATCGGTGATGGCCTGCAGTGGATTTTTGCATATGTGGTGGTAGGGGATGAGGAAAGGAATCTAGGTTCTAAGTCTCTCTGCCTCACCTCTCTTCCTCATTGGACCCCTGCCCCAACTTGCTTTAGAGGGGTGTAGCTTTGGGGATTAGAGGACCAGGGTTTGAATTTAGACTCTGCCATGGACTTCCTGTGTGACCTTCGGACAAGGCACATCACTCCCTTTAGTGCCCTTTGGGAGGCAAAGCAGAGTGGATAGACAGCTGGCCTTGAATTCAGGAAGCCTTGGGTTCAAGTCTAGCTTCTGACATATTCTGTATGTGTGACCCTGGGCAAGTCACTTAACCCCTCAATGTCCCAGGCAAATTTTTAAGGCTATAAGTTACAAACAGGTGCAGGACAATTGTAGATGTATATTAGTAGAAGATAATGAAATAATACCCAGCAATTATAGTGCTTTACAAATACTATCTCCTTTTATCCTCACAACATATCTGTGAAAGGGATACTATTATTATTCCCCTTTTTACAGATTGGGAAACTGAGGCAGACAGTGGCTAAGCTATTTGCCCAGCTTGTGTCTGAGGCAGGATTTTTGAATTCAGCTCTTCCTGTCTATAGGACTTAATCCACTTTGCCACCTATATACACATACATGTCTACATACATACCCACATAAATACCTACATAGTACAAACCTATCTATATACCTACATACACAAATACATTCATAAAAGGAGGGAATTGGACTAGCTTTTCTCTGAGGTCTCTTTCACTTTCATTCTAGGGTCTTTTCCAGCTCTCAGAGTCTGCAATTCA